ATAATATATATATTAGTGGGGTTCACTTTTAAAGTGAATTTTAACTTTTCTTAGTGAATAAGGTAAAACACAGTGAAAAATAATTTTGCAAAGAATACCCAATGATGTGCAAAGGTAATAAAAATAGGATTTTTGGTTGCACGATTGGATGTATGAAGTCAGCACAAAGTATTCCTCTATGAGGTGTATTTAATAAAGAGTTCACAGAGCCAATGGTTCTGTGAAACTGACATTTACATTTGTTCTGTGCAAATAAGGCAAAATCGAATGTTTTCTTGTGCCGAATGAGAGTGATTGTCTGAGAATACATCATTATGGGCACAAAATGGAGCCCAGGAGCAGAGGATATAAACACATTTTCTATGCTCACAATATCACCAGTGAAAAGACCAGGTATGAGCATTTACGGTCCCCTAAAAAGGGAACATGGTAGGGCTGTCACAAGGATAATATTGACACAATAAAGGCAGCACAGTAGCTTAAAACTGAACTCCAAGGTGATCTACTTCTGCTCAATCACTATTCAGTTACAGACTGGGTATGAGGAGATGACCTATCTTTCAAGTTTAGCTGCAGCAGATAAAGTAATCAGCCTAGATGAGCTGGCTGGGAGGGCACTGTGTAAATCTGAGGGCTGGATGGACAGAAATGCAAACTCCTGATAAACATCTTCCAAATATACAGTATGTTTCAACTGTGTATTTAGCAATTCACCTGGAGTTCAGCTTTAATGTTGAAATGGTCTAAACATAACTAGGCAAAATAGATGTAAATAAAGCACCTGGACCAGATGGCCTACATCCATACATCCTCAAAGAGCTGAGCTCAGTCCTTCAAAACCATTGTTTCTCATTTTAAAGGCTATTTAAAGTAAATCATTCCTAAGAGAATTGTGCAGCAGTCTTTACTGACCTTCTCACGAAGGTACTAATTGTCTATTACACTGACACTTGGCATCAGAACTTTCTGAGACACTGACCTGTAACAAGTGTGCAGATCAGGAAAGTCAGATTAAAGTCAGAATTCTTCATCTTTTTCCAGGTTAGTGATACAAAGTATTGACAGAATAGGGTGGCATGACAACCAAGTAACTAGCATTACCATAATGAGACATAACAATAACAACCTCCACTTGTCTCTCAGTTAGGTTTAATATAAATTCTGATCCCACAAATAAGGAAGTGACTACTTACCTCTCTTGTTGCCTGAGGTGCCAAATGCTGCACCATTCAAGACAAATCACCAGCTGAAGTTTCCAGAAGTGTCAATCTCATGTGCCCCCCTCAGTGGTTCCTGCTGCTGACCCAACATTCCTACAGGTCACATTATTGTCGAAGGGGGATGCTGGGTGGAACCATTGTGTGCCAAAGACGGACCAGGAGATTGACACTTCTGGAATTGGTGGTTTCTGAAGAAATCAGCTAAATATTTTGCTTTTTTTGGAAGGTCATTTATGTAAATATTCAGTTTATTATTTACAAGGGCAGTATTTATTGCCACTTTTAGTTTGGCGACAGGGTCACTTTAATGGCTGGCTTGGTACCAAAGGATTGGCCTGAACCAAACAGTTACCTATACATGAGCATATGATAGAAAATAACATCATAGGTGATAGCCAGCAAGAATTTATGAAAGAAAAGTGTTGCCAAGCACATCTATTTTCTTTTTGTGGAAGTAAGTAGAATGTCAGACAGATAAGGTGGCTGTGGATGTAAGATAACAGGATTCTGATAAAGCATTTGACACAGTTCCTCCCAGAGGGTTAATATGTAAACTAAGATCTACTGGTAACCATACCATTCCTAGGGGTTGAAATGTAGTCAAAGTAAAGGACATAAGAGGTCTTTCAATGTTTTTTTTTTAAAACAGAACTCCAGCCAAAAACAACAATATAACAATGAATTGCCAATTAATTCATAAAATAACAAAACCAGCTTTTCCTGAAATATTTATCTTCAATAAGAGATTTCCCCACAGTACTTGTTCTGGTGCCACATGTCCTCAGTCTGAAAGCCATCATTGTTCAACATATTCCTCTCAGCCCTGGTAATCCTGGACCTGCTTCACCCAGTGACTAGACAGTGAAATGAGAAGCAGCACAGTGATGATCTCATCTCTATCACGCTGCTCTCTACACCTATCAGGATGCACCTTGTCATAACATGAACTGATTGGTGTCTTCTACCGCTTCTTCATCTCATACTCCAGCCCTGCTGTAAAGTGAATGCAGGAGGCTGCTACCGGGGCAAACTCTGGTGTTACACTGCTTGCATTTAAAAATGAATTGCGTCATGTTTGCCCAGAGTTCAGCTGTAGATAAAATGAACTAAAGCCAAAACTATTTAGAGAAGGGAATGGTTACAACAACTGTTAGATGTTTACAGATGCCTAAATCCTCGCCTGGTTAATCTGAAATTTTACAATGGTCGCCAGAACAATGATATTGTTTCTCCCGAAAAAAATGTCTAAGATGGTAGGAAGTCCATAGCACTGGATGGCTGGAATATAATATTTGAGATTACATTTCATGTATTATCCCACTATATGTATAGAAGACATAGCACTGCAGCCTGCAAGTGTGCATTTGTTTGTTAATACTTGGTAATGAAACGCCCTTTAACTGTTGGAGCAAATATTCAACAACTATTTAATGCCATAAAAGGTGCTTTATGGTTTACTTGAGAGAAATAAGCTTCAGTATCTTGCTAGTCGGCCCCGCCGGCTGTCAAAATACCTGAACAATCTGATTGGATGCAGGCATTGTTCAGGTATTTTGAGAGCCAGCGGGGCTGACTAGCAAGATACTGACGCTTGGCCCAGTGGGAGATTCCTCCATCCACACAGTTTAGCGTAGATGGAGGAATCTGTTGCACTTTTTCCATCTGACCATAGAAAATCTGCAGATAACACTGGTCAACACACTTTTTCTGGCATAAGGTATTCCAACATTTTTAAGTTAATTTTGGGGTGCTGATTCCAAATCTGGCATCAGTTTTTGAGATATCAAATATTGAATTTTCAATAAAAACAGCAAATTTATGCTCATATACGAATAGCTATACAGGCATACATACAAGAATAAGATAAGATAAGATACTCTTCTTTCATTTTTACAGAGTGTCCTACTGGGATTGAACCATATATATTTCTGTTGTGAAGTAACACACATTTCAAACTCCTTTTACTACTGTCAATAAAAAGTCTCCATTAACTTGAATTATATACGGGCAGTCCCATATTGAGAAGAAGCCCTTCAACATCATTACAATAAACAAGTTGACCATCTGAATGGAAGTACTTTCGCAGTGCTGCTTCTCTGTTACGATAAAAAGAGACACTAGTGCCAGGTCCTTTCTCTTGCAGCCTGGAAGCCAACAATTCAGCAGACTGCTTTGGCAAATACAAATCTCTTACAAGATCATTCAATTCAGGCTGACTAATCAGATACATTTTATCACAATCTGCATCAGATGGTGTATATTCGATCTGAGCATCATCATCATCATCTGTAGAAGCAGGTAAACTAAGGGATTCAACATCAATCTCTGGTAGCTCGGTAAACAGTTACAGGCACGGGTATTTCCTCACAGTGCTCAACTGGTCGTCTGTCAGATGGGATATCTGGGCATTGTAAGTGTTGTTTGTTTTTCTTATTGAAACCTTTTACATTGACAAGGCAGAAGTAGCAGTTATGCAAATGGTTTGTAGATTCTCTCCAAACCATTGGCACACCAAACTTCATCTTAGCATTCTTTCCTTTAGACCATGATCGCAAAGTTTCAACACAGGTTTTACACACTTTGTGAGGAGCCCAATTTTTGTCTTGGTCTCCAAGTCGTACTTTAAAGTAGGCAAGATAAACCTTCTTGACAAAGGTATTGATGTTGCGCCTTTGATCCTGCAAAGTGAAGCTGCCACAGATGTAGCAGAAGATATATGGGTCATTACTGCATTTCCTTCTTTCGGATGTTGTAGCCATTGTTAGATCACGCCCCGCAGAAGGAAAATATTAAATGAATGTGGATATCTACATAAAATTATATTATAAACACACTATCCTAAAAATACAACACCATATTTTAACACTAAAGCAGTCACTGACTCGCAACAACTTGCAATCAAGTGACAAAGAGTTAATTTCGGGTAAAATCAATGAAAATGGGGTATGCCGATAGCATAAAAATGAGATGTGATGGAGCAAATCTGAGATCGGATTTGGAATCAGCACCCTGAAATTAGTCTAAAACAGCTGCAAAAGTCCAGGCCAGAATTTGTTTTTGTTTTTTTGTTGACCAGTGTAATCTATAGATATATGGCCAGCTATAGAGACAAAGCAGGTGTTTACCTCCTCACGTGTTGCTACATCTCTTAGCTTGACCACGCCATTATTAATCTCCTGCTCCCCAATAATGGCCACCAAGGGTATCCCTGCACTCTCACAATAGTGCAGCTGGGTAAGTAATTTAGGATTCTTCTTGTACAGCATTTCTGCCTGTGTGGAAAAAGGAAAAGACCAATCAATTGCTTATTTAAAGACTATGTTCTCAAAACCTTATACAGAGTGTAGTGTGCATGTTCAGAAAAATGCTTTTATAAACCATATCCCAATACTAATGACTGAATATAACCTCTAGGTTCGTTTATGTAGTGCTTAGCTGTTTATAGAGTCCTCTGTCTGCACCGGACGCCTGCTTTCTAGTTGCTAACTTGTCATCAGTGCAGTAAATTTCAGTTCTATACACTATTCAGAAAAACTACACATATGGACAACTGCCAAGACAAGAAGAGTCATAGTTAGTGGGTGGTGACTGCCAAAACAGAAGAGGTCACGGGGGGAAGATGGCCAAGACAGGAGAAGCTATGAGTTGTGAAAGATCAGTGAATCCCAGACATTGCCATGGATGCCATATTTAAAGAACTTTACTCAACACTGCGTGTATCACAGACCAGCAAATGTGTGGCCATTCATTACAGGGTAATTTGTTTGGATGTGTGCAGGTTATGTTTATTTTGTTTATGAATGTGGTATGTTCCTAAGTATCAAGACAATGAAATTATTACCATATCAAAGAGGTCAGAGGTCACTTCCTGGTCCTAACGGGCATTAGTGATGCAATATGCCCAAGCGTTGCATCCTGGGAATATTACGTCAGCACAGCATTGCTGGGAAATTTCATCTGTAATCTTGCTTGATCTCAGGGAAAGGCATTTTTCTCCCCTGAGACGATGTGCATGGTCACATGTCTTAGTCACATGTGCCAGGAAGTAAAGGGAGATAGATTGTTCTGACCTTGGTAAAAATGGCCACTGTGAGAAGAATGGGGAGGAAAAGAAATATAAGGTATGTAAAGAATAAAAATTCTGCAATTATCTAGAAGTATCTGTTTGTAGATTGTCATTACTAAATATTTCTAAAAGGTGTGTTTGTTGTCATTTCAATGATATGCGTAAAGTTCCTCTTTAAGTGCTGTGACAGTTTGGCAATTATTCAGTTATGCAACGCTTTGCCCAAATAATTTTTAATCGGACAGATAGACCAAACTTTTTTTTTAACTTTTTGGAAATTGGACACCAAGGTGATCTAATTTTTTGCCAAATTTTTTGGAAATGAAGAAGCATGCTTTGCTAAGTGGGTAAAACACAGAGCTTGGCATACAGCACATCAGGTCATTCACAGAGTGATCAGGAGATGAAGGGGTTAATGTACTGGACACATACAGTGGAAAGATGGAGATGAAGGGGTTAATGCGCAGATGTGCAGGATAAAAGAGATGACGGGTTAATATACAGGTCACAATTAGAGACAGAATGGAGCATAGATGTGTAAGGCTGGGCACACACCTTACAACCATCGCAAGACTTTTGTCTTGCGATGGTTGTAAGGTACTTAAAAAAACGTACGATCTGCCTATGTTGCATAGGCAGATCGTACTTGCGATGATCGCAAGCCACGCCCCCTGAGGGGCGGGCTTCCGATGACCGCAATGCCGAACGGGCAGTGTGCGCTTGCGCACACCGGCCCGTACGGCTGTTATCGTACGGACATGCCACAAACCCGCCGAACATCGTACGATGCTCGGCGGGTTTTCGAACATGTCCGTAAGTTTAAAGTCGTGCGACCTTACAGTAGTAGAGGTCGCACGGCTTCCACACACCTTACGATCATCGTACGATCGCGGGATTTCCCGCGATTATCGTACGATAATCGTAAGGTGTGTGGGGACCCTAAGAGAGAATGGGGAGTGAAAGAATTAACAAAAGATCCCACAGTCAGTGAAAATGAATGAATGGATCAGCCGCTGCTTCTAACCCATTCATTCATTATCTGTTCACGATTACTACTATTTCCTCTCCTTCCTCCAATGTAAACAGTAGTATGTGATCACTGTGATTGGTGATACTCTGTCTCTGTGTACTGAGGTATTTGATGACGGCTTGGCACACAGCAATTAGCAGGCACATAGACAGTCACAAGGCTATTTTGAAAGCGACAGGGCCAGATAAACATAGGCGACAGGGCCAGATTAACGTAGGCGCAGGTGGAGCTGCCGCTCCAGGTTCGGCCCTGCAAATAGGCCCGGCTGACCCTGAAGGCCTCGGTATCCAGGTCAGTGACCGGCCGCAATCAGGCAGCGACGGCCCTCTATTCAGGCATATTATATTTCAAACTTTTTATTAGTTTGTCAGTACATAAACAATACATATAACATAAAACAATATATTGAGCTAATGTAGTTTCCGCCCTAGCAGGACATTATTCGTATAGCCACTCTAAAATCATACATTCAACATACGGTAGTATAGTCCCCACTAAGACATATCTACTACATCTCCTTACTTAAATCTAACTCTAAAAAATAACATAACAAACACCGGAAAACACATAAAGAGAGAGAAAAAAAAAAAAGGACGACAGTGAACCTACAAAAGAGAGAAAGAAATAAAAAAAAGTTTAAAGTTTGGTCAGGATGGGGTGGGGCCCAAAAACCACTCCGTTTCCCTCATATTGTTATGCAGCCTTCATATTCCAGCCAGGAACCCCAAGTTGCCTCAAACTGCGTCATTTTATCCAGGAGAATACTCGCCAATTTTTCGTGCATCATGATCCAGGACAGCTTGATCTTTACTTGCCTCAAAGACACCCTGGGTGTTTTCCAGGCTTTGGCAATTGTAATGTTAGCTGCCAGGAACATGAAAGTTATCAATCATGTACAATATCCGGGAACTCTGGGAAGGGTATCATTAAGAAGAGCATATGCGGGGTCTCTAGGAACTCTCACTCCTGTGACCCAAAATATCAGGTTGAACACCCTGCCCCAGAATGTGCGCATACGAGGACATGACCACCATACATGGCACATAGTGCCCCCAAGCTCACACCCCCGGAAGCATAGAGGAGATGATCCCGGATACATGAGAGCAGTTCTGGAGGGCACCAGGTTCCACCTGGAAAAAACTTTAAAATTGGCTTCCAACAGTGATACATTAACCAGGCCCCGAGTCGTCACCCTTGAACGACACTTCCATATTTCCTCTGGTACTACCATATTCAAATCTTGTTCCCAAGCCAGCATATATAGCTGCTTAGGGGAGACTCCAACATTATGGAGTACAACAGGGAGATGGCCCCTCTCTGATCACTAGACTGAAGGCACCATCGTTCATATAGACTGAAATCGCCTCCAGAGTCACTTTGTGCTAATATAGTACCTAAAAAGTGAGTAATTTGATAATAACGAAACAACTCCGATGTTGGCATACCTAGGTACTCCCTGCAGTATTCCAAAGTCAGTGGTCTCCCTCTTTTAAGGTACTGACCTATTCTATATAGTCATTTGTCCCGCCACCATTGAAATGATTTAAGATGGATACCAGGTGCAAATGCAGGGTTCTGATATAAAGGGGCAAGGGGAGTATGGGCTGAGCTAATATTTCCCTGAGTTTTTACCCGATCCCAGAGAGCCAGGGAATTAGAGAGGGTAGGGGCCATAATGGGTGGACGCAGTCTAGGAGGCAGCCATTTCAATAGATCTAAAAGGCATATTTTTAGCTGCTTCCGACTCCATGTACTTCCCCGGTACTTCCCCTCTGCAATCCGGTCCGGTACTTCCCCTCTGCAATATATGACCGATAGTTGTGCTATACGAGCAGCCCGATAATAGTGGTGAATATTTGGGACCCCCAGCCCTCCAGACTCTCTGGTACTGTAAAGCGTAGTTCTGGGTAGACGATGACCCTTACCCCCCCATATAAATTTCACCAAACTGGATTGAAAGGTAGCTAATTCTGATCTAGGGACAGGAATAGGGAGGGCCCTAAAAAGATATAACAGACGAGGAAGAAGGGTCATTTTAATAGCATTTATTTTCCCTAGCCAGGATAGTTTATATAAAGACCACCTCTCCAAGTCCCCCTGTAATTTCCTGAAAATAGGCGGAAAATTCGCTTGGTTCACATTACAAGGTCCGGCGGGCCGGATTCGGCCCGCGGGCCTTGTGTTTGCCACCCCTGGTATAGGAGATCAAAAGAGGGGGTAAGGTTTATCCCCAAATAGGGTAGCGTAGTTGATGACCATAAAAAGGCAAATGCCCCTTCTAACGTATTCACTAACTCAGGGGGCAGATTTATGTTCAGGGCTAAAGATTTAGTTACGTTTATATAGAGCCCCGACACTTTCGCAAACCTATCGAGGGTAGTCATTACATTAGGAAGAGTAATCAATGGATGAGTGAGAAACAGCAATAAGTCATCTGCAAAGAGGGAACATTTATGCTCCCTTGAGCCGCAATTTACCCATTTGATATCCAAATTCTCTCGTATCGATATAGCCAGGCATACGAATAATAGAGGGGAAAGTGGGCATCCTTGTCTAGTACCTTTATGGACCGCAATTGGGTCTGATTTAAATCCCTGCATTTTAATAACAGCTGAAGGAATGGAGTATAAGTTCCGGAGCATACGGATAAACTGAGTACCGAACCCCCATTCCTCCAGAAGCGTAAAGAGGTATGTCCAAGATATTGAGTCAAAGGCCTTCTGCAAGTCAACTGCCAACAGAAGGCCAGTGGCCCCTTTGGTTTTTCCCCACCCCGACTTAACAAAGATATTATATCAATTGCCCTGCGAATTTGATCTGGCCCCTGCCTCCCCCTAATGAACCCCACTTGGTCTTTGTATATATAAGTGGACAGAAAATAATTTATTCTGTTTGCCATGATTTTTGTGAGCAGTTTACGATCGTTAATAATTAAAGATATAGGTCTATAATTAGCTATTTCTCCGGGATCTTTATTGGGTTTACGTATTAGGCTTAAAAACACCTCGTTCATATGAGGGCTCAAGGGCTCACCCTTACCAACAGCTAGGAAGAGAGATTCAAGATGGGGGAGCAGTATCTCTTCAAATTTCTTATAATAACTGGCTGAAAACCCATCTGGTCCAGGGGCAGAAGATGCCTTTGCCAGTTTAATAGCCAGTTTAATTTCAGATTGAGAAATTGGCTCTTCCAATGAAGCTACATGTTCCAGGTCTAAGTTGGGAAGAGCCAAAGACATCAAAAATTGCTGTATTGACGACCTACATGGCTCATGTGTATTGGCATACATTCGGGCATAGAAAGATTCAAATTCTTGAATAACCACTTTGGGGTTCTGCAAGTATACTCCTGTCGCACATCTTATTTTAGGGATCGAGTAGTTACGAGGTTTGGGTGATAATTTAACAGCTAGAAGATGACCAATTTTGTCCCCATGAGAATAAAATCTGTGTTGAGACCAACGTAGACTCCGCTCTGCCACCGTTGTAAGGGCTAAATTTAATGACAAACGAGTCTGATCGATACGATCTCGTAGAGCTTTCATTGGGTTTTGTTTGTGTACTTGGGTCAATGTCGACAGCTCCCCCTCTAATTTGGATATATGTGATGTCCGTTGGCGTTTCTTACGCGTAGCAATGGAGATAAGATGCCCTCTTAGAGTGGCCTTATGTGCCTCCCAGTTGGTGATGGGCGAGGAGACTGAGGCAGTATTAATACGAAAGTATTCAATCAGCGCAGTCTGAACCTCCTCCACCACCACACGGTCGCTAAGGAGTGAGTCATTAAGTCTCCAATGACCCAATCCTCGGGCGGGTTGGGCCAAGGAAGAAGTCATTACCACTAAGGCATGATCCGACCAAGAAACCTCTCTAATTTTTACTGATCTGATACCAGCCAGCATCCGAGGGAGCACAAAGATATGGTCAATACGAGCATAGGTAGAGTGGGCATGAGAAAAATGTGTATAATCTCTCGTTTCCCCCTCTTTTCTTTCCCTCTCCCCTCTCCCTCTCCTTTCCGTCCCTCGACCCTGCTCCTATAAGACCCCATAATTGCGGGGATTGGTCCCAGTATTGGGGGACTAATCGAGCGGAGATCTATGCAACAAGTTAAGGTTGAATGTGGTGGTAGGGAAGGGACCCTGGTGACGAATAGGTAACTATCTAGGTGCGAGGAAAGCATATTTTTAGGGAAAGGGGATGCGGTACAAGGTCTAGGGGAGGTAGTAATCACTAAGCACTTTGAGTTGGAGAGTGAATTGTTGGCTATTGAACAAAATCTGTTTATAGATGTGCTCAGTTTCCTATCCTAGGGGAGATAGGAAGGGGCAAATTAAGGGTTATTTATAGCTACCTAATTAGGTTACAAGGAATCAATCATTTATTTAGGTATGGTTGAGGGTGCCGCAAAGTTTAAATCAATAGCCATCATTTGCTGCTGAAGTATAGTTTTGGATATTAGACATTTAGGGGATGGACACAGCCCTGGATTATTTATTGATAAATTAAATAAAAAAATAAATTATTCATTTAGCACACATTCATCTAAAATTATTAAGGAATTTAAGGAGTTTTTCCATCAGCAAATCAGGGGTGTACCCTGTTTCCCCGAAAATAAGACCTACCCCGAAAATAAGACCTAGTACTATTTTTGGGAATTGCTAAAATATAAGACCTACCCTGAAAATAGAGCCGCGGGAGAGGCAGGAGAGAACCAGCGGTGCCAACGAAGTCAGCTCTAGAGGAGGCGAGGCGGCACCGGAGGGAGCAGAGCCGCATAAGCTAATGCCTCCTCTACAGCGCCGGCTCCTGTCCGAAGTGATACCAAATGCACTCTGCCTGTGAGGAATCGATAGTGAAAGCGCACTTCGCTCATTCTGGCCAGCGATTTGGTTAGCAAATTGCTCTTGGAAAGGTACGGCACCCCTGATTGCCCTGATCACCATATTTTTGTACATGAATACATGTAGACTGTTGTACATGAATAAGTGTGGATTGTTGTACATTAAAAAAAATCAGACCTACCCGAAAATAAGACCTAGTGTGTTTTTTTGAGCCCAAAAAAATATAAGACAGTGTCTTATTTTCGGGGAAACACGGTAATTGTCCTCCGGACTCGGGGGGTGGGGGTGTAACGTTTCACAGCAGCTAGACACTCTGATGGGTTTACAAATGTAGATTTCATATTATAAGGGATTTAGGGAAATATCGGCTGTTTATTTACTTATCTTTTTGTCTGTGTATTATATACTTGGTTTATGTTATATAGCCGTGGTGAGGTCAGGCTGCCGATGGGAGCCGTTCGCCCTCACTTGACCCGATCATGGGGAGCTCCCCCCGTTCGTGTCAAGTGTGCTACCCGTATTGGGTGGCTTCTAATTTGTGTTCGGATAGGGTACCTAAGGGCCCTAGGTGTTGTTTTTTGTGTTGTGATTTATGTGTTTTTTTGGATTTTTGGGTGACGGTTGCTACGGCAACTTACTTTTCTTTAGCTTTTTATATTTTATGTCTGACTATGAACCTGTTCTTATTACGGTCGGGGAGGGGGTGGTGTCCCAATTGCCTTGAGCTTCACTCCCAAAGGAGTTTAGGGGGAATGAGGACCTGGCTTATTTATCGACTATGGTCCGAGAGCCAGTATCTATCGGGGGACTGGACCGACTTCGCACAATTATGCAGAGGTGTTGTCCTTTTGTGGATCTGATATTTGTATAGTGACGCATAATGCTAAGGGTCTTAACTCACCCGTAAAAAGACGGGTAGCTTTTAATCATTATCCTTCCCAAAAGATAGATGTGCTCTTTTTACAGGAAACGCATTTTCCTAACAGTTATAATCCTCCCTTTATACATAAGCATTATACACAGCATTATTTCACCAATGCGGCAGATAAGTCTAAAGGGGTGGCTATATTGTTTGCTAAGCATATATCTTTTCGGCTACAATTAGAACTCAAAGACCCTGGAGGACGTTATTTATTGCTGAAGGGTACTATTGGGGATCAGTTTCTCCTGCCAGAGAGCCACACTGGCCACCTTAGAGCCGACGCTGGCCACCTTAGAGCCTAAACAGGCTACTGAGAGCCTGCACAGTCCCCCCTGAAACCCTGCACAGCCCTCCCGAGACCCTGGAGACATCAGGCCGTGAACCCGGAGCAACACAGAGTATGTAGCTCCATAATATTCTGCACTGCTGTATAAAGTATGGCTAGGATTAGTAGTCCTCTATAGCTGATGGTATTATTCTGCAGTGCTTAACAATGTATTGCTGGGATTTGAAGTGCTCTATAGCTGGTGCCATTCTGCATTGCTTTATAATTATTGCTGGGATTTGTAGTCCTTGATAGTTGATGGTATTCTGCATTGCTGTGTAATGCTTCACTGGGATTTGCAGTCCTCTATAGTTGGCAGTATTCTGCCTTGCTGCGTAATTTGTTGCTGGGATTTGTGTTCCTATATAGTTGGTAGTATTATCCTGAATTGCTGTATAATATATTACTGGGATTTGTAGTCCTCTATAGTTGGTGGTATTCTGCATTCTTGTATAATGTATTACTGGAATTTGTAGTCTCTCTTCAACTTGGAGTCAGTGGCAGATATACCATGCTTACAGCTGCAGCCAGGCCCTGGTGCTCCACCACAGACTTCAAGCTGTAGAGAGACTACAAATCACAGCCCAGTTTAATCACAGTTTAAAAGTAAATATATAGGAACAAACTAAGCTTCCTCTCATTAACCCTTTCGCATTTTTTGCACACAAATTATAATCCACATTTTAGGCCTGAAAATTAAACACCCAAAACATTATTCTTGAAGGCAAAGACCCTGTAGAATAAAATGGTGGCAGTTGCAAATTTTTACTTTGCATGATGTTAGCGCAACTCTTTTTTTAACCCAAAAATTTTGTAACAAATGTACTTAAGTTAGTTTTAGTGCCCAAATACACAAGATGATACCATTTTGTTTTGTAAAATATAAAGGAGGAGGTTACAAAGAGTAAAAAACATAAAAAATATGGTAACCGAAATTGTCCACAGTCAATGCTTTAAAAGCCCATACAAGTCATCAGTTTAGAGAAATCTGTGAAAGTTGGCCGTAGAATTATAGGTCTCACTCTGGCGTGTTCGGCGACACTCAACGTGTGCTTGCATTAATGTGTACGCGCTTGCCGGGGCCTTTATTTATTTATTTTACATTTATTTTATTCAATACAATTTTTTTAAAACGTTTTTCTATTTTTTTTCTTTATTTAATTGCTATCACATAGGGGGCTTTCAAGTCAAAGCACACACAATGGGCTTTCAAGTCACAGCACAGTGATAGCACATTGGAGGGGACAGGTACAAGGCCAAAAGACCCCTAGTGTCACCTTTCCACTCTAAAAAAGCTATTGGACTGTACCAGACCCTGGAAGCGATCTGGCGGCAGTTGAACTGCCATAATCACTTCAATTGTAAAGCCGACAGTAGGCTTTACAAATGTAAACAGAGTCCCTGGCGGCTTTGTTTAAAGGGGTCTGTTGCCACTGACGTATAACAGGCCCCTCTAAACAAAGCCGCAGCGGCAGTGAAAGGGTTAACCCTTTGTTAGGACAGGCAGTGTAGGCTTTTTAAGCAAGTGACAAGCACTGAAAAATATAAGTAACTATTTATAAATATTTTCTAAGTTATACAATGTGAATGGGAACATGTGCCAAATGTAAGGTAGGTGTTATCAGGATAAAAAACTTTAAATCTGTCTACTTGCATACAATAAATAACCTTCACCTACCAAGTGTTTTGTTGTGTTCACCTATCTCACAAAGACTGCTAGCATTTATTGTCTTTATTTAATTTAGGCCAGGCATAGAAGTCTCAAGGTAAATAAGTTACTATAACAACTGAGGTCAGAATATAAAGTGTTTACTTGTTGGCCATTATCAGTGCATTGTATGTTTTCCACATTCAGAACAGGCATGGTTCTAAGCCCAGAGCAGTCTAAACAATAAAAACACGATTGCTTAGTGACCTGAAAAGAATGCAGCCTTGTATTTCTATACAGATATTTTTTTTATTTGCTTCATAAAGACAGAAGTTCACTGTAAGGAATGTACTTACTTTAATCCCAGAATTCCACAGCATAGAAAGAAGTTTCATCCTCTCTTCAAGGTACATTGGTTGGGCTGTTGCTACCAGTACTTGGGTTTCAGTAGTCCTGATTTTCTCTATTGACTCCTAAAGATAGGGTAGAAAGTACATTACTGGCACAGAGATTTGCAAGTGTGGCATAGCTTCCACTCAATTCCACTCACCCCAGCTTCCACTCCATATCTTAACCTAACCTCTTCTTTCGATCTAACACAATGGACACACACTCCTACTCACTCTAATGGTAACATACTAGATCTGATTTTCTCTCATCTATGCACTCCTTGCAACCTCTCCAACACCCCCTTTCCCCTCCTTGTCAGTTTCACACTCACCCTATCCCCAACCCTAATTCCCTCCTACACGGCACACTGTCACCCGGAGAAACCTTCGCCACCTCGACCCTGCTCTTCTCTACTCTGCTACTGACAACCTCTATGACAAAATCTCACCCCCTGTCCTGCCCTGACCTGGCTACTTCTGTCTACAACAGCTCGCTCTCATCCTCTCTAGACACTTTGGCTCCCCTCACTACACACAGAAACAAAAGAAACCAGACATCTAAAAAGACATAGACGCTCTTGAACGACTGTGGCAGAAAACTAGGCTTCTGCAAGACTTCACCCTCTATAAAGCTGCCCTCCTAAAATATAAGTCATTCCTCCGTGCTGCCAAACAGACTTATTTTGTCACTCTAATTAACACACTCTCATCCACGTCAACTCTTTTCTACTTTTCTTCCCCTATTAATGTACCAGACCCACCATCACACTTGTTACTTTCCTCTTTTGATCCTGTCACCATAGAGGAGGTTACAAAGATTCTCTCCGACACCCACCTCACCCCATGCCCCCTGTTCCCTCACCACTACTTCGGTCACCCTCTTGCTCTATCCTACACTCTTTTACTCACATTGTCAATCTCTCACTCTCTACTGGCAACTTTCCCTCCCCACTAATGCATGCACTGGTCACCCCAATAAACCCTCACTGGACCCTACCAACCTAAACAATCTCAGACCAATCTCCTTTCGCCCCCTACACTTCACTGAAACCGCCCTCCTGAAACTCACTAATAACTTCTAACAGCTAAAAACAATGGCCAATACTCCTTACTCTTGCTATTAGACCTTTCTGCTACTTTTGACACTGTTGAGCACCTGCTCCTCCTCAAAAAACTCCACTCGCTTGGCCTACAAGACTCTGCTCTCTCATGGCTCTCCTCCTACCTATCTAAGCTCTCCTTTAGTGTCACCTACATATCTAACTTCTTCCTTCCTCTTCCTCTTTCTGTAGGGGTCCCCCAAGGCTCTGTCCTTGGACCCCTTTTTTTCTCTATCTACACCTTCTCCCTTGGTCAGTTAATAACCTCACATGGCTTCCAATACCATCTGTATGCCGATGACACTCAAATATATCTTTCTACTCCACAACTCACCCCCTCAGTGTCCTTGCGTCTCACTAATCTACTAACTGACATATCGGTCTGGATGTCACAACACTTCTTAAAACTCAACCTTTCAAAATCTGAGCTCATGATATTTCCTCCTGCCCGTGCACCTTCCACAACGTTTCCCTTGAGATTGATAACACAACTATCCAACCCTCCCTCCATGCCAAGGTCCTAGGTGTCATCTTTGACTCAAACCTCACCTTTCTTCAACACATCCAATCACTATCCAAATCCTGCCACCTTCACCGTAACATCTCCAAAATACGCCCCTTCCTCACCAATGAAACCGCAAAATTACTTATTAATTCACTTGTTATCTCTCGTCTTGACTATTGCAACTCACTCCTCATTGGCCTACCTCTACACAGGCTATCCCCCTTCAGTCTATCATGAATGCTGCTGCTAGACTCATCCACCTAACCAACCACCTCAGTGTCTGCAACCCCCCTTTCCCAATCCCTACACTGGCTTCCAATAGCCCAAAGGATAAAATTCAAAATATTAACAACCACTTACAAAGCCATCCAGAACTCTGCCCCCCGGCAGACATCGTCTCAAAGTATCACCCTAACTGTCCCCTCTGCTCTTCCAAAGACCTCCTGCTTTCCAGCTCCCTCGTCATCTCCTCCCGTGCTTGCCTCCAGGACTTCTCTAGTCTCTCCCATCCACTGGAACTCTTTACCCCAACCTTTCCGACAATCTCCCACTCTAACTGGCTTTAGGCGATCCCTTAAGACTCATCTCTTCAGGGAAGCTTATACCACCTCAACCTAACCACTCAACCATCATGTTCTCAAACAATTCATCCCCACACAGCTACCTCCTCGTGTATCACTTCCCCCTCCCTTTTTGATTGTAAGCCCTCAAGGGCAGGGCCCTCCTTACCATCTTGTCTTGAATTGTATTGTGATTGTAATGTCTTCCTTATATTGTAAAGCGCTGCACAAACTGTTGGCGCTTTATAAATCCTATATAATATTATTATTATTATTAATAGCTATAGGGAAACAGCATACATGCTGTAGGGTGTTAGAAAGCATTACAGATTAAAGAAGATTTCATCATTTAATTATTTCATTATGTTACACATATATATACATGTCATCTAATTGCATCATGGGAAGCGAGTACAAAAATGAACTGGCATGAGATACAATATTTTTCCTATAGTTTGATTTCATACCTCAGCTTTTTTCTCTGCTATGGAAAAGATCCTCTCTATGCCAATGCTGATTCCCACACAGGGTACTTTTCTGCCTTTAGCATCAAACATGCCCACCAGTTCATCATAACGACCCCCAGCTGCCACGCTGCCAATGCCAAGGTCTTGATTCTGTGATGTCTTATCGCTGAGCAGCACAGCTTCGTATATTACTCCAGTGTAATAATCTAACCCACGAGCCAAACTGAGATCTAAAACAATCTAAGGAAAAAAACATTGGGAGAAATATTGGGGAAAAAGTAGTGAACTAAAGATGTTAATAATAGAAAACGATTGCTATAACAGGAAAGTACACAGTAGGTGAAATTATAAAAATGGAGGCCATTAGTATAATGTCTATCTGGTTTAATATTTAATTTTGAAACTTCAAAAAAAGAACAATCCAGAATTATTCACCAATATCTTCCTACAGAGAATGTGCTAAGGGGTTAGGGACACCATAAGGCATGAGTGTCAAACATGCAGCACCTTCCCTGTGGCCCGTACTTTCAGCAGGCAGATAAAACATTCAGCAAGCTGCAGAGAAGCTGCCTGCCTCGCATCTGTAAATATTGTTAAAAACCCCAAACTGTGCAACTGCTATAACAAGCAAGTAGAGAAACTAAATGGCTGAATAAATACTTATTTATGTGACTTTAAAATAGGTTTTAAAGGAATCATCCAGTTTTATTCATCCATATCTTCTCATGGAGAATCTGCTATAGGCTTAGTGACACCATAAGGCATGAGTGTCAAACATGCAGCTTTCCTTATGGTCCCCTAAGGCAGTATGGAGAGGTGAGTAACTTTGATCGATCAAAATAATTTTGATCGATCAAAGAAATTAACGATTAATCGACGGCACACCAGACAATATCTCACGGCACACTAGTGTGCCGCGGCACAGTGGTTGAAAAACGCTGCCCTAAGGATCTCCTGGCCTTCACTTTCAGCAAGCAGATAAAACCTTCAGTGAGCTGGAGGGAGGGTGGCCGCTGCTGTATACAGGTGGTGGCAGGAGCTGGCTGCAGTGTACTACCCGCCCTCCATCAACTGCTATGCCCACCTAACACTTATCAATATAGAATGAGGCAGGCTGCTGCAAGTGATGCACAAGTGGTGGGCAGGAATGCACAGTAGTTCCTTCCATGGCCTCTGCTTCCCTACACTTTGTACAGCCACCTTGGAACCATTACAATCTGGCTCCTGCTATCAGTTTTTCTGAAGTCTGGCTTTCCAGAAGAAGCGCAGGCAGAAATGTTAACCCTTGCAGTGGTGCTAACCTGCACTGCAAGGGTTAACTGCTCATTTTTGCCTAGGGTCAAACATTTTAGGTAAAAAAGGTGCTGCATAGTGCATTTAGGTAAAAAAGATGCTGCACCGAAAACTTTTAAGTAAAGAAGGTGCAGCAGGTCAGCAGATGTGGGCTAAAGAAGGTGCTGCACAGTAAATTTAAGTATGGAGGGTGCTGCACAATAAAGTTTAGGCAAAGAAGGTGCTGCATAGCAAAGTTTAGGTAAAGTGGGTGCTGCACAGTAAATTTTAGGTAAAGAAGATGCTGCACAGTAAATTTTAGGTAAGGATGGTGCTGCGCAGTAAATTATAGGCAAAGAAGGTGTTGCACAGTAAAGTTCATGTAAAGTGGGTGCCGCACAGAAAATTTTAGATAAAGAAGGTGTTGCACAGTAAATTCTAGGTAAATATGGTGCAGCGCAGAAAATTTTAGGTAAAGAAGGTGCTGCATAGTAAATGTTATCTAAAGAAGGTGCTGCATGGTAAATTTTCAGTAAGCAGGGTGCCGCAAAGAACAATTTAGGTAAAGAAGAAGCACAGTAAATTTGAGGTAAAGAAGGTGATGCATAGTAAATTTTAGGTAAGGAGGGTACTGCACAGTAAAGTTTAGGTAAAGTGGGTGCTGCACAGTAAGTTTTAGGTCAAGAAGGTGCTGTACAGTAAATTTTAGTTAAACAAGGTGCTGCACAGTAAAGTTTAGGTAAAGTGGGTGCTGCATAGTAAATTTTAGCTAAATAAGGTGCTGCACAGTAAATTTTAGGTAAAGAATGTTCTGCACAGAAAATATTAGATAAAGAAGGTGCTGCACAGTAAATTTTCGGTAAGGAGGGTGCAGCACAGAACATTTTAGGTAAACAAGGTGCTGCACAATAAATGTTAGGTAAAAAGGGTGATGTACAGTAAATTTTAGGTAAAACAGATGCAGCACAGTAAATTTGAGCTAATAAAGGTACTGCACTGAACACGCTATAATTTCACTCTTAAAAAGGACTGACACTTTTAGTTTTTTAAAGGAAGCTTTAGAAATGAGAAATGCACAAAGCCCTTTTCATTAGTGCTGTCAGTGGACTGAAACTCCCTGTTTCATCTTATTATGCTACTCAATGACCATTGATTACTAATAATACCTGGCCTTTCTCAATTTCTTAGGCTAGGGTGAATGCCACAATAGGGATGGCAACATAAATAATGGTTTTCTGTTTTAAGCAAAACCATGATATTAGTTTTCTCCAACAAAGCTTAAAAACACGGACTGCTAGGAGCATTGTGGATCTGCAGAGAATTTAATGTTTTCCATTAAACACATGGTGTCACAAAACATCAGCAGGTACAATCATTATGTTGATCTGCTAAGCAGGAAACTGTTTATGTAATGAAACAAGGTTTTTAATACATTAACACACATGGATAAGATAATGTATATTAAGATGATCTCTATCACATGTAAATGCATTTTTTTTTGCTGAAAAAAGGACAACAGTTCCTTTTTTACTTAGGTCTGCAAGTAATGTATTTTATTTTGTTTGTATGTTTTCTACATAAAACATTTGTGTATCTTCAAATTCAAAGTACCTTGGGTACACACCTTGTTTGTTACGCCAAAGATTTTTAGGTATCGGTGCAGCAATTTCAAGTCATTCAAAGCCTCCATAGCCAGCTTGTTCTGAGATACCCGAGTATCTTCACTTAACTTCTCTATCAGGGACAGATCACCTGAAGGTAGAAACATGTAATGGTCATAAAAATAACTCAGCTAAAACAATTACTGTATTATTAAATGTTACACACTGGTGGAAATAAAGCTACCCACATACATTGCACTCCCAGAACAATATTATTGGCAGGACATGACAGATGTTCCTTTCAGCAGAGGAAAGAATATTGGTCTGTGTTGTCCACAGCAGCCACATATACTAGTTTCAGTTTCAAACTAGCAGGGGAAAATGACAGCTGGGATTTGACTGGCTGCTGTGGACAATACAGTCAACTTTTCTTGCAAAGGATAACAGTACTTTTAGTATATCATAGGTTTCTGCATGTCCTATAATTTCCTATAACAGTGCTGCCTGGAGATTTTCACCGTGTGGTCCACCTGACACTGTGCAGCTGAAATCAGCAGAAAGCACTACCAAGACACTGTGCTGTGAATGCACCAGTACAACAACATGGTGGATTTCTGGTGCCTGGCAGGCAATACAGTAAAGAGCTCCATATAACACTGTTGTAGGTAAATTTATGAGATCGGCAAAAGACTTCTGGAGTGAAGATTGAGAAGGGTGGATAGGTGCACTAAGAGTGCAATTTTTCTCTAAAGTAGTCCTGAACTCAAAAAAGTGAAGATTTATCATTTTATATGGAACATGTACCTTTTGTCTGGAATCACTTCTGAAAAACAGAATCGCACTGATCTGAGGGTGGCTAGACACTCCTTTGCATACAGCCTCATAGCTGTATATCTGTAGTGAGATCTAAGGCACGGCTGCCTGTTATTGCTGAGCCTCTGATCTTACTCCAGAAGATCTGGAGGGAGATTTGATGATGTCATTTCTTTAATGCTCACTGCTCTCCTTGGAGGTTCTGACATGAGGATGCAAAGCCTTGCCTCTAGTAAGACAGCCACCTCCACGCAGACACACAGTGCAAAACAAGGCATTATAAGTCAGTAATGGGGAAAGATCAGCTGCAGGTAGACCAAAGGCAATACTGGTGACTAGCTCTTTGCCCTCTGTTTTGAACACAGCTTCCAGAGGAAAGTTCCTCTTTAAATACTTTTATAAATGAAACCCACAATCATTTTGGTCTATCCATTTGCTTTTGCTCACAGCACTTTTACACCATCCTTCATTGCTGGCAGTGTCTACAATCTGCAGGACATAACAACAGCAACTTTTTTTCTATAATTTTTTATCAAAGGCATGTCATGATCGTAAACATGAAGTTCAGAAGCTACTCTTCTGAATTTATTTTTAAAAGATTTATTGTTTTTATTGAAACAAGAGAGAAGAATATGGATACTGTTATAGTTTGACATAGTCTGTGAAAAGAATTTCCCAGTCATCTTTTTGGAAGAAACTTTCATGAAAGGTCCATGAAAAATCCAACCAATGCTACAGCTCATGCTGACAGCCATTTAAAATGCTACCCAATGCCCCCTGACATAGGAGGGATTTAGGCTGTCAATGGACAATTTACCCTATGAATGACAATATACAGGTGAAACTCGAATAATTAGAATATCGTGCAAAAGTAATGGCATTAATTGCTGCAAAAGGGGCCCAAACCAAGTACTGAGTACATATGCATGCTTGTACTTTTAAGAGGTCCGATATTGTTCTATGTACAATCCTTGTTTTATTGATTGCATGTAATATTCTCATTTTCTGAGATTGTGGATTTGGGGTTCTTGGGGTTTTCATGAGCTGTAAGCCATAATCCTCACAACTATGACAAATCACGGCTTGAATTATCTTGCTTTGCATGTAATGAGTCTATCTCATATATTAGTTTCACCTTTTAAGTTGCATTAGTGAAATAAATGAACTTTGCACGATATTCTAATTATTCGAGTTTCACCTGTATTGTATAACCTTATCAACACAGTCCTTTTGGTGGGAAGCCCTTCTGCATAAACCTAACCCAACCATTTTTTGCATGTAACAAACTTCAATTACTAAAAAATGACTACTTTTTAGCTAAAAAGCTGTAAAAAAAATCCTGCTCTTAACTTTGACAAAGTGAAAAATAAAAGGACACAATCAAAATCTGGTGGAAATCATACACTACACTGCTGGACTTGGACAAGAGACTTCTCAGTTCTTCCCTGATCATCCAGACCATGACTCCTTTTTGCTTTTCCATCCCCTTCCTTTTTCTCGGTCTTCTTTTTCTCTTTTTTCCAGGTCTAACCTAGTCCCCCTTTCCCTCCCACCATTTATCCCAATCCCTTTACTAGCCTCCATTTCTGCTATACCCTTACTATACTCTTGACCTCTTTTACAAATATGTACACATTCCACTAATTTAATATGCACTAACCTAGTCAGCTAACCAGAAAATTGCTATAAACAACTGCACTATGAATTACCAAACTATAGGCTACTGATGTGGGAGTCCCAATGACTAATGCCAGCTGTACTGAACAAACTGCGAGTCAAGATCATTAACAAATGCTTTTAATAATGTCTTTTCTATGACATGCTCTGTACTTTGTAATGAACAAATACCTTAATAAAATCTTAGTAAACAAAACAAGAAGCTCTTATGGGGTCACTTAGCCCGATAGTGGATAGTGGAGTTTCCATTATTATTATAGAGGATTTATATAGCGCCAATAGTTTGCACAGCGCTTTACAATATAAGGAAGATATTACAATCACAATACAATTCAAGACAAGATGGTAAAGAAGGGCCCTGCCCGTGAAGGGAGGGGCAGGTGATACATGAGGAGGTATCTGTGCGGGGATGATTGTTTGAGAAAGTGATTGTACAGTGGTTAGGTTGAGGTGGGATAGGCTTCCCTGAAGAGATGATTCTTAAGGGATCGCCTAAAGGCAGTCAGTGTGGGAGATAGACGGACAGGTTGGGGTGGAGAGTTCCATAGGATGGGGGAGACTCTAGTGAAGTCCTGGAGGCAAGCATGGGAGGAGTTGAAGGAGTTGGAAAATATGTAGAATTCAGCCCAGAGTGAGGGTTCAGTTCATAGCATTATGGGAGATTTCCTTGCCAAGTTAAGTCATCACCATAAAACCTCTTGAAGGCGAAATAACATTTCTATATAAGTAACAGATGTTACTCTATAAGCTTGCCTTTTCTTTGCACTTTCTTATCAGGGCAGACATAAAAAGTAAGAAAGAGCTCTATAAACTTAAAGCAGTAAGTCTGAAGCCAGAACACAAGGGCAACTCAATCATACACCTAATCAGCTTGTATATAATAAAGTTGTTTAGCTGGAAAGCAGTCACAAATCATGCACAGTGGACTGTGCGAAGGCACAAGAAAAATAAACTTATGTCACTATCTCAATTTATTGCTTCCGCAGAAAGGTTGTATCCAGTTAAATGTCAGGGCAAGAAAAGGAAATGATGATAAGTTATGTAGCCAGGATAAGACAATTGCAATAGAAGCAAAAATGTAATTCAGTTGAAATAATGCGGAAAGCAATTTATGCTGCCGTAATACCCAACATGGCTAGAGTTTAGGAGGAGGATACTTGCAAGAAATATGTTCATGGTAGAGGTTAATGCATTTTTCTCTATGCTTTATTTTATGTAATGCTGAACATTTAAATAATCTATAAAGATTGTTAAGGTATGACAGGAATCTCTTGTAGCAATGCTAAATAAATACTAATTATATGCTAGGTAGAGAGCATTTATTCATGCTTGTAAACTTGGGAAATGGCTTATATATGATCATCTATTGGCCTGTGAGCTGTTACTATCTCTATAGATAAACTGCACTGTGCTCTCCCAGCTGTAAGGATAGCAAATTCTATATACTCCCTGCTATAGAAAGAAAAGAAAAACTATGTTAAAGGGTATATATTGTATGTTTTAGTAAATACATATTTTAAGTTGTAATTATAACATTTCTGGAAATAAATATTTTGTGTTACTTTCACATTTTTGCTTGCTTGCTATAGACATGTAGAAATATATCACTGTTTCAAGCCTATGTGAAGATCCCCAACCTCTGTGTGCGACCAAAGAGAGCCCAACCAAGCTCTATGAACTCAGTAGGAAAGCAGGATTGCACACCGATGATTTCAGATCACATCCATGAACTTGGACATACAACTCTGCAACCCCCACCTAGAAATGTCCCTCTCTAACATTTTACTCAATATGGGTTTTGATCATAGAGATAGAGATACTGGGGAAACATCAGAGAGGAGTGGTCCTAGGTGGGGCTGCAATGTGCTATGCCCGGGTTCAATAAAGCTGGATAGGCTCTCATACCATTGGTGTGTCACTTCCTGCTTTTCCTACTAATTTACTTGCTTGCTGTTCCATTTTTTGATTATTGTTTTTTAAATACTGTTTTATATTTCATATTTTCCCTCTAGTAATTTTCTTTATATCAGTAATTACTAATGAATAATAGCAATCCTTGTTAGAGGATAGTTGAGATAAGCTTAGCGTCATCTGTTTATCATGGGGTCAGATCTATATTGCAATGACAGGGAGGATCAGTAAACCTCACTGGTAGCGCTGATAATCACCAATCAGGGCCTGCATATGCAATGAGTTAATATTATGCACAAAAGGTAATCATTTAAAATATGAACACTCATTAATAAAAACATTCACATTAGAGGAAACATGTACTGAGAGAAATATGGACGCTGCCTCTGATGGCCCTCTTCTTAAATCCTAGTTGCCTGGTTTACTCTAGCTTTACAGTACTACCTTGCATGCAGATCAGAAAACTCAGAGTGAAGTCAGAACTTGTCCTGGGTCAGTGATTCAGAAAGCAACTGGATCTCCATGACAGCATGAATAGCATTTTCTGAAAGGCAATATGTCTTCAGTAGATCAAACAAATGCACTGCACTAATCAATAATACTTGAATAATATAGTGCTAAATATCAAATAGATCACATATAACTAGGGCTGTTACTGATTAAAATGTTCTTGTTCGTACGAACATCAACGTCACCGGACTCCTCCCCCTTCCCTTCGTTAGCCGACGGAGCCACTTGGGGAAGGGAGAG